CCAACTTTTACATTCCAGTCACCAGTGATAATTAACACACCCTGATTGCATGTTTGGTCAATTTCAGACTGCAGAAATTGATAAAAATCTTCAATTTCCTCCTCTTTGGCTTTGGCGGTTGGTACATAAATTTGAATAAGAGTCGTATTAATTGGTCTTCCTTGTAGGCATATGGATATTATCCTATCACTGAGAGCACTGTACTTCAGGACCAATCCTGAAACATCCTTTGTGATGATAAATGCCATGCCATTCCTCTTCAAATTGCCATTCCCAGCATAGTAGATCATATGGTTGTCTGATTCCAAAAAGCCAAAACTGGTCCATTTCGGCTCACTAATGCCTAGGGTATCAATCTTTATGCGTTCTATCTCATTTTGATAACTTCCAATTTTCCTAGATTCATACTTCGTACATTCCATCTTCTGATTATTAATGGATGTTTGCAGCTGTTTCTCCTCAATTTGAGTTGTGCCACTTTAGCAAAAGGAGGTCTCAAAAGCTTTATTCTATCCATATCAGTAAAGTTGATCCTACTCTGATGATGCAGCTCTTTCCTAGTCGTATTTTGAAAGCCTTCTGACCTAAGGAGCTCATCCTCCTGCCCTGTATCGGATAATATTTCCGGGCTATTTACAAAGTTGTGCAGTAATGTAACAGACAGTGTTTTTCTTCTATTCATAAGGTTTTCTCTGGCCAATTCTTTGAGAAGTGGATGGCCTCTTCCTTCTTCCTAATCTATCTCTGTCTATAAGCTGTATTGAAACCTGTGTACCATGCCCTGCCGGCACTTTCAACACCACTGGCATAGCCTCAAGCCTCACAGCAACATGCCACAATAGTAGGACAAACTGACAGACAAGTTTGTCTCGCTTAGCTGTTCAAACCCTCTCTGCCCTCCCCTTACCTGTATCCCTGGTGCTGCTCTCCTATGTCGTCACCTATGGCTTCTCTTTCCCCCACTTTCATGACTGGTGGGGGTGGGGCCTGGGTCTTTCCCTCCCCTTACCTGGATGCCTGGTTGCTGCTCTGCTCTGTAGTCATCCCCCTGGCTTCTCTTTTCCCTGCTTCCTGGCTGGTGAGGGTGGGGTCTGGGTCTCTCCCTCCCCTTAACTGGATGCCTAGCTGCTACTCTGCTCTGTCCTGCCTCTGGCTTTTCTTTCCCCCGCCTTCCTGGCTGGTGGGGGTGGGGCCCGGGTCTCTCCCTCCCCTTACCTGGATGCCTGACCACTGCTCTGCTCTGTCATCACCTCTGGTCTCTCTTTCCCCTGCTTTCCCGGCTGGTGGTGTGGGGCCTAGGT